ACCGCAGGCGAATACTGCAGGCGAATACCACAGGCCTGCAGGCGAATACCTGCAGGCCCGCAGGCGAATACCACAGGCGAATACCACAGGCGACTACAACAGGCTAATTCCCCGGAGGCAAGCTCGTAGACGAATACCACAGACTAAAGCCACCAGTTACTGACTTTTCGGCGGAGCCAGGCACGCAGCCTCATACCACAGGCTCGGCTCATACAACCGGCCTGGCTAATACCGCTGGCCAATACGCAGGCTGCGAACACAGGCCCTCGGGCTGACACTGCAGCCCAGGTGGGGCCAGACCGGGCGCGCTTGTACCGCTTGGGTCAGTTGGGTCAGTTGCACCACTTGGGCCAATTGGGTGAATTGCCCCAGTGCGATTGCACCACTTGGGTCAGTTGGGTCAGTTGCTCCACTTGGGCCAATAAGTTAGTTGGCACAGTGCGATTGCACCACTTGGGTCAGTTGGGCCTGTTGAACGACGTGTGCCACTTGGGCAACTGACCCAACTGACCCAAGTGGCGCAATCGATTATCGCAGGCCGCTGCTCTCATGACGCAACTGACCCAACTGACCCAACTGACCCCAAGTGGTGCAATCGATTATCTTCCGTCATTTCCGCCCACAGAGGGCTATCTTTTGACGATTTTTGAAGATGCCCCCTGTAGAGGGACAGGCCCGACTTACGTTTATGCCCACTTTCCCTTCTCGAATTCGGAGCCCTCCACCCCAAGACGGCCACCGAGACAGCCAGCAGGCCTCCGGGACGCCCCGCGAAAGCCTCCGAGCTGCCCGAGAACCCGCTTGAGGAGGCCGCCCGAAAAGGCCGACACGAGGCTCCCAAGAGGCCTCGAAAAGGCCCCCCAAGAAGCATCTTGTCAACGACCCAGGCACGGTGGTGGGATGGACACGGGGCCACTAGTCTGCTCCAAGATCGAATGCTGGGAAATGTAGAGCGAGCCGCGCTTTGAAAACAGTCCGACATTCGCCCGTGCACGAATTGAAAAACATGCCTCCACGCCGAAAGACATCAAGAAGTCTGCCCAACCTTCCGAATTACCTCCAGGAAACCTACGACGGCCTCCTAGCCATCCGCGTTTTCCCCACCTCCTCGCGATATTCCTGACCGTTCTCCTCCTCCTCCTCCTCCTCCTCCTCCTCCTCCTCCTCCATCTCATCCCCTTCATCAGTGCCGGCATCACCACCATCATCAATACCTAGATCATTATCACTGCCATCCCCATCACAATGTCATCATCATGGCCGCAATCACAATCGTCATCCTCACCACCACCATTATCATCATCATCATCATCATCAGCATCATCATCATCATCATCATCATCATCATCATCATCATCATCATCATCATCAGCATCATCATCATCATCATCGTCATCGTCATAGTCATCGTCGTCAGCATCATCATCATCATGAGCATCATCATCAGCATCATCAGCAGCAGCATCATCAGCATCATCATGATCACCAGCCATATCATCATCAGCAGCATCATCACCACCACCACCACCATCATCATCAACATCATCATCAGTATCAGCATGATCATCATCATCACCATCAGCAGCAGCATCATCATCGTTGTCGTCATCATCGTGTTCGTCTCCGTCATCGTCATCATGTCATCATCAACATGACCGCCATCATCATCATCATCATCATCATCATCATCATCATCATCGTCATCGTCGTCGTCGTCGTCAGCAGTATCATCATCAGCATCATCATCATCACCATCATCATCAGCAATCTCATCACCCTGATCAGCATCATTTCCATTACCATGATCATTATCATTAAAATCATCAGCACCATCGTCATCGTCATCATCCTAATCGTCATCATCATCACCACCATCATCATCGTCATGATCATCACCACTGTCACCAGCATCATCGTCATCATCACCACCATCAGCATGGTCATCAGTATCATCATCATCATCATCGTCATCATCATCAGCATCATCATCAGTATCATCATCAGCAGCATCATCATCATCATCGTCGTCCTCATCCTCATCCGCATCCTCCTCCTCCTCATCCTCGTCGCTCCCCGCGCGGTGTGCCCAGGCTCCTGCACCAGGGACTGCTCGTACTGCCGGTGCTGCTGCCGCAGGGCGACGGCCTGGGGGGGTGGGGGCGAGCGCGGCGGCCTGCCCGAGATCGAAGACAGGCCGAGGGCAAGATCGAGCCAGGATGACCACAAGGACCTCCTCCCCTCCTCCTCCTCCTCCTCCTCCTCCTCCTCCTCCTCCTCCTCCTCCTCCTCCTCCTCCTCCTCCCCTGCTTGCCTGCCTGCCCGCCCGCCCGCCCGCCTGCCTGCAGGCCTGCAGGCAGGCCTGCCTGCCTGCCTGCCTGCCTGCCTGCATGCCTCCCTCCCCCCCCCTCCCTACCTTCCTCCCTGTCTCCCTACCCTGCCCCGCTCCTCCTTCCCTCCCTCCCTCCTTCCCTCAGTCCTCCCATCGCTCCTTCTCACATTCCCCACTATAGAGCGATTCTCGCCCACCGGCACCGGCACCGGCACCGGCACCGGCACCGGCACCGGCACCGGCACCGGCACCGGCCACCGGCACCGGCACCGGCACCGGCACCGGCACCGGCACCGGCACCGGCACCGGCACCGGCACCGGCACCGGCACCGGCACCGGCACCGGCACCGGCACCGGCACCGGCACCGGCACCGGCACCGGCACCGGCACCGGCACCGGCACCGGCACCGGCACCGGCACGCACCGGCACCGGCACCGGCACCGGCACCGGCACCGGCACCGGCGCACCGGCACCGGCACCGGCACCGGCCGTCGCCGTCGCCGGCGCCGTCGCCGGCGCCGGCACCGGCACACCCGCAACCGCACCGGCACCAGCACCGGCACTGGCACCCGCACAGGCACCGGCTGATGAACATCATTGAACATCATGACATTTCCCAAACAGTGTTTGCATTTAGGGGGCCTTCTTTCTTTCCTAGTAGCTGGGTCTGAGGGGCGGTCTGGCGGCTCTCTCCTCGCCGTTGCCGCCCTGTCGCTGCCCGTCGTCTGGGCTTGAGGGGCGGTCTGGTTTTTCCGTCCTTGCCGTCGCCCCCCCTTGCTGCGTCGTCGCCGCCCGTCGTCTTGGCCTGAGGGTCGGTCTGGCGGTTCCTTGCTCGCCGTCACCGTCCCGTCGCCGCCTCCTCGTCGCTGCCCTGTGCGCCCCCCCAGCGGTTCCAGTCCAATCGATTGCAAGCCAATCAAGTGCAAACCCAGTGGAATCGATTGCAGTCCAATCAATTGTAAAATTATGCAAACGGAGTTCCCCACATAAAGATAAACGGTTTCGTGGGACCCATGGGGTACGACAGCATCAACACGAAGGAGAAGCTCATCGAACGAGTAAGTACGCACGAAGAGGGCAGACGAAAGAAAGGAGGAGGGAGGACAGGTGTTCAGGAAACGAAGCCTTGTAAATAGTACGGGTTCTTGATACCCTCCTCGCTCTGGCGGGGCCCCGCTGGAAGGGGGGAGGCCTACGAAACCTGGTAAAGAGTAATGCTGTCCGCGACCCTCCTCCTTCAAGCGAGTCCTCCTCCTCGTCCTCCTCCTCCTCGTCCTCCTCATCCTCGGCATCATCATCATCATCATCATCATCATCACCATCACCATCACCATCACCAGCATCGTCGTCGTCATCATCAGCATCATCGTCATCATCATCAGTATCATCATCATCATCAGCATCATCGTCAGCATCATCGGCATCATCATAACCATCATCATCATCATCATCTCATCATCATCAGCATCATCATCATCATCGTCAGCGCCATCGTCATCATCATCATCATCGTCGTAGCCACCATCGTCATCATCATCAGCATCGTCATCATCATCACCATCACCGTCCTTGGCATCATCATCGTCCGCATCATCGTGGACGTCACGATCATCAACATCATCGTCGTCATCATCATCAACAGCACCAGCAACGTCAGCATCAGCAGCGGCATCGTCATCATCACCAGCATCTGCATCATCATCATCATCATCATCATCATCATCATCGTCGTCGTCGTCGTCGTCGTCGCCATCGTTGTCATCATCATCATCATCATCATCATCGTCATCATCATCAGCATCATCACCATCATCATCATAATCACCGTTATCGTCATCGTCCATCACCATTCTCGCCATCGTCATCGTCATCGTGAACAGCAGTATAACCATCGTCATCACCATCATCATGACGAAACCTTCCTCATCGCAGAACTCCCCCTCCTCCTCACCCTCCTCAGTGGGAGGAGTAAGACGTGAGATGGATAGGTAATGTTCTCTTCCTCCTCACCCATGTCAGTGGGAGGGGCACGAAACCACGTAAATAGTGTCGGTTTCCGATACCCTCCTCGCTCAGACGGGGCCGCCCCGGAGAGGTGGTAGGGGCACGAAACAGGCGGGGCCTCCCTGGAGGGATGGGAGGGTTTCGAAACCATGTAAACAGTATGGGTTTCCGATGCCCTCCTCGCTCAGGCGGGGCCTCCCTGGAGAGGCGGGAAGGGCACGAACCATGTAAATAGTATGGGTTTCCGATACCCTCCTCGCTCAGGCGGGGTCTCCCTGGAGGGATGGGAGGGGCATGAAACAATGTAAATACTATGGGCTTCCGGTACCCTCCTCGCTTAGGCGGGGCCTCCTTGGAGGGGTGGGAGGAGCGCGAAACCATGTAAACAGTATGGGTTTCCGATACCCTCCTCGCTCAGGCGGGGCCTCCCTGGAGGGGTGGGAGGGGCACTGGGAGGCGGGAGGCGGGAGGGAAAAGGAGAGGATGTTCTGGGAAAACAAGACCCCCACTCAGGATGTGGGGAACAACTCGATTGCAGTCCAATCGATTGCAGTCCAATCGATAACAAATTAATGCATTGCAAGAACACGGCGACAAACATTACCAGTATCATTATCACCACCACCCCTTCCGCGCACAATATGTTTCGGATCGAGGCGGCCCGTCATGGGGCCTCCCCTGTGTCCGTGCTGCTCCAACCACGCGTGCACGGAACTTCGCAGCTTGGAGCTGCGGCAACGCTGGGCCGCGGAGGAGGGCTTCAAGTGGACGTGGCACACAGACGGCCAGGCGTACTGGAGGCCATGGCTTTGAAACGCAATGCCTTTCCAGTGCTGCGTTTGGGGCCACGAAGGACAGCCAACTGTTTCACCCAACGTTGATTCACTCACAATGTGCTGTGTCAGTTGGGCTGTTATACCCGGTGGTGTTCCCGTTGTTTCGATGTGATGACGGTGCAGACTGCCAGCGGCCAGACAAAAGAGGTGAGGCGCCGAACACGGTATTGGTGCGGTTTCCTAGAAGAGCCTGTACCCGGCGACGCCAGGGCGTACAAGAAACGTGTCGATGCTGATTTCAGTCATCGGGATTTTTGGTTGTTGTCAAAGAGTTTCGGCGTTTCCGTTTTGTGGCTGCGGAAGTGGCGGTGCCGCCTGTTGGTTCACCGTTCCTCTTTCATGGGCGAGGCTACCATCTTCCGCATGATGCACGGCCCAGGCGTGCTCGCGCGGGCAAGGGCGAACTTGAGTTCCACTTGGGTGCGGCAGCTTTTGTGGAAGCGATGCCAGAAGGGGGCACCCGAGAAATTTGACGAGTTGGCAAAAGTTTTGCTGTGTCTCTCCGTTGAGGCCCTGGTGCAGAAGAGTTGGCGCTGGTACGGGCCGTTGATGTTCCGCCGGCGTTTGGAGCAGGTCCGTTGGTCTGGAGACCGCGCAGACATTCTTGCCATCGATGGAAACGCCAAGTTGTACCGCCGAGCGTGCGGCATGCCTTTCTCTCACGTGGTCTACTGCGCCGAGCTGGACAAATACCTTTTGCGAGGGTGCCCAGACCGTCCGCATGGGAAGGGGACGATGTGCTGCAAGCATGCCAAGGCGTTAGTGGCTGACCCGCCAGCGCCGCACGAGACTGTATGCAACCACCGGTTGCGCCGAGCCCTGCATGGGCCAGATGATTGGCCCCCCCTGGAGGTGCAGCTGAAAGGCTTTGCGCGTCGCTGGCAGCCCGCGTGCGCTGTCTCTCCAGATGCGCTGGGGCTGACGCGCGCATCCAAGCGCGCCGGGCTCGCCGCATGGCGCTTCGAAAGCAGGGCGCGGCTGGCAAGAAAGGGCGCAAAGAAAAGAGCTTCATGGCATCCTGGAGCTCGAACGGGCCACGCGCCGCTTCCGAGTGTTCCACGCGCAAGGAGACGGACGCGCACATCGTTGCAGCCGCCCGCGCAGCGGGCTTCCTGACGGCCGTATCCGCGTCTGGCATTCTGGCGCACGTGGAAGAGCTCATGTGCGCTGAGCCCCTCAGCCAGCGGTACCGACTCCTCGCCATAGTGGCGGCCCACATGCCCGACCTCAAGATTGTCGTCCACGACGACGCGTGCCACCTGCGCCTCATGGCGGAGAAGAACGGGGAGGGCACCGCCGTGGCTGCGCGGTTGGCAACCGAGACGGCGTACATTGTCGACGATTACCATTCCAGCGGGCACGTGGGCAAGTGGTGCAGCGAACATTGCCTGCCGGGGCTGGAGGCCAACAGCCTTGTTGAGCAAGTTCCCCACAAACATCTGCGAAATCATGAACAGCGAGTTGTCCCCGCTGGGCCACGTGATCCACCGCGTGGGCCGGTGGGCCTCCCAGTTCTACGTGCAAGAGATGGTGGGCGCGTTGAACATGAAGACGCTGGGGCGCATGAGGGGCGCCCAGGCCACTGCCGCCGGGAAGGTAGCTCGGGCGAGCGAGGCCGCCTCGGCCTCGGCCGAGAAGAAGCCGAGACAGCTCTGATGCACGGGGCCTCTCGCGGCCTCTCCTTCCTGCCAACGTTCGGATCATGGGTCGGGCGAGGGGCGCGGGGTGCGACGGGGGAAGGGATGGGGCGAGGGGCGAAAATGCACTCGAAAGCTCCTGGGGCTTCCTCAGAGCTTCGCGGCCCTGTCTTGGAGATTTCTGGAGGCCGTGGGAGTTTCGCTGCGCGCGTCTCGTGCTTTCCGTCGCCCTGCAATAGCCAGGGCCTCGGGCGCGGTTTTGGAGCGTGCAGCGGGGTTATCGCCCCCCCGCAGGTTTTGGGAATTTGGCCGATCGTGAAAAAAAGCGTGGCAGACGGCCCATGACGGCCCATCGATCTGACGCGGCGGGCACGAGGAGGTCGGGCCGCTGCTTTTGCACCCGCGCGAAGATGCCGATTCGAAGGCGAGACAAAGGCCCCAGCTTCGCTGCCCCGCTGCGAGGTTCCATCTGCCAGCCTCGCACGCAGCGCCCTGGCTCAAAGTTCCCCCTTCGTGGGATTGCCGCAGCGAGTCCTGCAGGTCACACTCGCGACGCGACCGCGCCGTCACGCACTGCGCGGCCATGGCAGGGAAGAACGCGGAGAGTCTGTCCCAGAAGCAGGTGAAGAAACTCTTTGCGAGGGCGATGGCTCGCGTCGCCAGTGAGTTCAGCCCGGCGGAGCACCTCCCCCCTAAGGTGCGCGAGTTCTTGGAGCCCATCGTTAACACAACGTGCCAAGGGTATTGCACGAGCGCCTTGATGGTTGGAGGCTCCATGGCGGCTCTTACAAATGGCGCCGCCGTCAAGATATGGAGCCAGAAGCCCACTCCATTAATTGCACCAGTGTTCCAGATAGGGAACGCACAGGCGGGGAAGAGCCAGCTTTTCAGTGTGTGCGAGGAGATCTTCGACACGTGCGACGACGTCATTGGCGAGCACGTCGACTCGCTCCTCGACGACGGCCCCCCCGTGACCGTGAAGAGTATCTGTCTCCAAAGCTTCACTTTCACGGAATTCTTTTACCGGTGCTCCAGCGGCTTTCCCCTCGTTGATTTTTCGGAGGGCGACGGGCGGGTTGCCGAGTTCAGGCAATCAGATGTGTGGGGCGGCAGGGCGTTCAATCTAGACGAGGCGCACGAGTTCTGGGACGGCCTCGGCCTTCTCGCTACCGGCCGCGGAGGAGGAGGTGGAGGAGGAGGAGAGAAGGATCGGGCGCCGACGGTCCACGCGTCCACCTTGAACACTTTGATCGCGAGTGGCAAGACGAGACGGGCAACTCGCACAAGCGCGACCTTCGGCGAGTCTCGCGGCAAACGCGTCTCGGTGTCTCTGCTCGGCAACGGACATCCTGGGAAATTCATAGCCATGGACAGGGGGATCGTGGGTAACCACACGGCGTGCACTAAGGAGCGCTTCGTCGCCTGCATTGACCAGGCCGCTGCGCGCCGCGCTGCGCTGCCCGCGGGGAGTCGCCTCCCGCGCGGCGTCTCCGCGTGGGCGTGGCTGCCGCTCGCCCCCCAGCAGGCGCAGACGTTCAACTGGGAGACATACCTTGACGCCCCTGAGGCCGCGGCCCAGTATTTGGAGAGGGACACCGAGACGGGCGAGGCGTCGGCAGCAAATTCCCAGGCTCGCAGTTTCGTGGGCCCGGCTGGCGGATACAAGGTGGAGTTCCCAGATGGCGAGGAGTCCCGGTTGCGATACCTGCGGGTTGCCCCGTCCGACGTAGGCGACGCGCAGTTGCGGACCGAGTTCCGAATTTCTAACAGGGGGGGCCTGCCGGACCCCGCGGGCCACATCCAAGCGGGGGCCAGGAGGGTTGCAGAGCTTTTCACCAAGAAGCCGCAGGCGATCTTGCCGTTCGAGGAGGAGGCGCGCAATATCCTGACGGGCAACCAAGTGGCACAGAGCATCCGCGCGCAGTTGCGAGGAGATCAGAGAGCCAAAAACGTTGAACCCCAGCTGCGAGTGCAACCTGGGGTGCGGGTTTCTCCTTGCCACGAGACCATCACCCTGGGTTGCGCTCATTTCGGTTTTCGACAACCGTCATGCGTGGTTGCACATCTTTCGTTCGTTGTTTTTCGACGTAGGAAGGAACCTTCACCCTTGGTTGCACGTGTAATTTTTCAGGTGGTTCACCTGGGGTTGCACATCTAGGTTTCCCCAGGAACCTTCACCCCAGGTTGCGCACGCATCTGGGGTTGCACGTTTTTCGCCACCCGAGGAGACGACGATCCTACTTTGGCTGCGCTGGAGGCCAACGCCGCGGGCCAGCAGGGCGTTCAGGCTGCTCTCGTTGCCGTGCTGGATTACTCTGGAGGCGGGGGCACCTTGGACGCGGCCTCGGGGTTGCCGCTCATCACCACCCAGCACGTCCAGTGCGCCAGGCGCATGCTCGACATCAGCATTGCCATCCGGACCATATGGCGAGCTGCTCTGGACGAAGACGGTGCACCTGGCTTCTTTGCCAAGGCAGAGCCGACGCCCCATCCGCATCAACATATATACCGGAGAAAAGCCCAATCCTATTGTTTGGGGGCTATGGGGCTATGAGGGTATGGGGCTAGATGGGCTATATGGTCTATTGGGCTGCTGGGCTAGAGGTCTATAGGGCTCTTGGGCTAGAGTGCTATAGGGCTGTGGGGCCATAGGGCTATAGGGCTATTGTGCTATAGGGCTACTGGGCTATAGGGCTATTATGCTATAGGGCTATATATACAAGGTTATATGCGCTATTTGGGCCATTGGGCTAAAGGGCACTATAGGGCTACAGGACTATAATGCTATAGTGCTAAAGGGCTATAGGGCTATAGGGTTAAAGGGCTATAGGGCCAAGGGGCAAGAGGGCAAGAGGGCTATAGGTCTATAGGGCACTATCGGAATATAAGGCGATCGAACTATATGGCGATTGTGCTATGGGGCTATAAGGTTCCTGGGCACCCAGGCACCCTGGCCTGGCCACCGAAATCGGCGACGACGCACCCGGGCATCGGGACACCCGGGCACCCGGCCCCCTGCCACCGTAATCGGCGCCCCACCTCACCTAACCATATGAATCCGCTAGGACCCCTACAGAGGCAAGCTCTGATTGGGGAATGCGGAATGGTCGTGCGCGGGCCCCGGCTTGGGTCAGTGTGTTGGGGTGAGGGTGTGGGTGAAAGGAGCGGGTTTCGGGTGTTTGGGTTAGGGTGTCAGGATTAGTGCGTTACGGTGTCTGAGTTAGGTTCATGGGGCTTTGGATTCAGGGTTAGGGTGTTAGTGAGAGGGTGTGAGGGTGTAAAGGTTAGGGTGTTTGGGTTTCGGGCTTATGGTTCGGTCTAGGGTGTTCGTGGTTGGGCTAAGGTGTTATGGCCAGGGTGCTAGGTTTGGGACTGGGATGTTCGGGCTCGGGTGTTGTGTTCAGGTGAGGGTGTGAGGGTTAGGGTGTTCGACTTAGGGGGTGTGGATGTTCGGTTAGAGTCAGGGTGTGGGGAAACGTGTGGTAGGGTTCGGGCGTTGGGGCCAGGGTGCTATGGCGAGAGCAAGGGTGTTCGGGTTAGGGTGTAAGGGGTAAGGAGTTAGGGTTCGAGTGTCAGGGTTCGGGTGAGGGCGTCACGGTTGGTATATTAAGGTTTGGGCCAGGGTGCGTTAGAACTTGAATGATATGACTGGGACCATGGATACGGTGCTCGGGCTCTTTTCGGGTTCGCATTAGGGTACGGCTAGGGTGTTCGCGTCAGGGTGTTAGGGTAACGGTGTTTTGATTGTGGTGCTGCTGTGAAGGTGGTGGGGTTATGGTGAAAAGCTAAGGATGTTAGGTTTCGAGCGTTACGGTTAGGGCTAGCGCGCTCGGGTTTAGGCGGGGTCAGGGTTCAGTTTCGGGGGGGGGTCTTAGGGTTAAGGTGTTAGGGTTTGTGTGTTGGGGTTATGGTATGGTGCTAGCGTCAGCGCGTTAGGGGCACGGTTAGTGATAGGGTTACTGTGCCAGGGTTAGGGTTTGAGGGGTTCGGTGTTATGGGGCCAGGGTTCGTGCGTCAGGATGAGGGTGTTAGGGTTCGGGTCAGGGTGTCAGGGTTACGGGGGTTAGGGTGGGGGTCTTAGGATTCGGGTGTTGGAGGAGGAGGTGTTAGGTCAGGTCGACCCCCTCCCTCCTTGAATTGCGCGCCCGCAGGCGACGCTGCCGACGGCGAGAGCGACGGCGACAACGAGCCAGGGCGTTTGGCGCGCCCTGTTCGGGGTCACTATCACCCTCATGCGTGCGCCGCGCCGCTCTCCACGTAGGTGCCAGCTTGCCCGGCGGCGCCCCAGGGCCCGGTTCCCGCTGGCGGCCTGGTGGCTGACGTTGCGCGCCCTGCCGCGCGGGCTGGCGGCGGCAATGTCGACGTCTCGCAGCCCGCCAGTCCGGGCGCCGCGGAGAGCGATCTGGCCGGTGCCCCCCCGACAGGAGGCGAGGCGCCGGGCTCGGGCGAGCGCGCGCTGACGTTCGCGGACTTGGCGGGCGAGGCGCAATTCGACAATCAGGGCCTTGGCGAAGGGGGGGCCATGGTTTTCACGAAGGCAGCTTTCAAGGACAGAGAGCTCATCCGTCGTGTGCTCCTGACCGGGAAAAGCCAGATTTCCGTGAACGCCTGCGTCGACCTCTACAGCGTGGCCGTGTCGGACCAGGAGGCCCCCGCAAAGCGGAAGAGGCGAGCGCGCCCGTCCAAGCCCGAAGCGGTGGCGGTGCTTAAGGCGGCCTTCGAGCAGTTCCCGCGCCTGGGGGAGTGCCAGGAGCAGAACGGCGAGGTGTTTCTCAAGGGCTGGCCCGACTCAGAACTTGGGAGGACGCTCTTCCACGACGAGCTCATGCGCTGCTGCCGCGTGTCACTGAGGCAGCTGTCACAGAAGCGCGCCCAGTTCCACGATGGGCGCCCGCAGCTCGCTGACGCGACGCCGAGCCGCGCGGCCGGCCCCCCCGCGCAGCCCCCGCCTTCGCGCGGCGCCCGGGCGAGTGACGCCGGCGCTGCCCCTGACGCCCAGTGCTTCTGGCGCCGCGGAGC